CCAGTGGACATCAGCCCAGTATGGAGGTAGGTTTGAGCTTATATAGGCCGGTCACTCCCCTCCCACAACTCCAGGCTCTGCCTTCCCATATTATTTATTTATATATATATATATATATAGATATCTATCTATATATATATATATATATATATCACCAATCTCTGTACCACCTCTAATCTCTCCAATGTTCCATTTCCTTTATCTGACCGCCATCTGCTGACCTCTGACATCGGCACACTCTGTACCCAAATTTCACCACCCTCATCTCTCCAATATCGCAAAAACCTCCACTGCTTTGATCTCTAGCATTTCTCCACCAAACTCTCCTTTCACCCATCTCAAATCTCACTTGCCCTAACGCAGCAACCTCACTCTACAACTCCACTCTCTCCTCTCAACTAGACATCATGGCAGCTCCTACATTTAAACGAAGCAAGTGCTCCCAATTACAACCCTGGCATACCAAGCTGAGCCAATACCTCTAAAAATGTTCTAGAGCTGCTGAATGCTGCTGGAGAAAGTCTCATTTTGCACCTGACTTCCTCCACTATAAATGTATGCTGTGCTCCTACCGTCTGGCTCTTTCCTCTGCAAAAGTAAACTACTTCAACACCCTCATAAGGATACTGTCCTGGCAACCCAAATACCTATTTAACACTTTTAATTCTCTTCTTCGCCCTGTTGTTTCCCCTCCTCCTACCACCTTGTCCTCTACAAACATTGCAGCTCACTTCACTGACAAGATTTCTACAATCAGGGAAGAGATCTCTTATCTCTCTCCTTCCCATACCAATACTTCCCCCAACCCCACTCCTTCAACTGTTCTATGGTCTTTCGCACCTGCTGTGGTGGAAGAGGTTTCTGCTCTGCTCAGGTACTCCCGTCCCACCATCCGTTTCCTCGACCCTTTTCCCTCATATCTCATCCGCACTCTGTCTTCCTCTCTTGCTCTTCCTCTCACTTAAATTTCCAATCTCTCTTTTTCCGCTGGCACATTTCCTTCACACCTCAAACATGCAACCGCAACCCCAATTCTGAAAAAGCCCCACCTTGACCCCAACTCCCGCCCTATCTTGGTACAGCCATTTGCCTCCAAGATCTTTGAGTTGTGTATGCAAGATTGACAGACTTCCTCGAATCCAACTCTCTGCTTGACCCACTTCAGTCTGTATTCCGCGCTCATCACTCTGTTTAATTGCTGCTAAATCTCGCGCCCATTACTCTATCCTAATTCTCCTTGAACTTTCTGCTGCCTTTGACACTGTTGATTATCAACAGCTTCTTCTAATTCTCCGTAATCTCGGTCTACTGCTCTCTCCTGGTGCTCCTCCTACCTCTCCCAGCGTTCTTTCAGTGTTTCTTTCTCTGGCTCTGCCTCTTCTCACCAACCCCTCTTTATTGGCATTCCACAAGGTTCTGTCTTTGGTCCCCTACAGTTCTCTGTCTATGCTGCCTCCCTTGGTAAACTCATCAGCTCCTTTGACTTCCGTTATCATTTATATGCAGATGACACGCAAATCTACCTGTCCTTTCCTGATCACTGTCTGCCCATCTTGACTCTTATCTCTGACTGCCTCTCTGCGATTTCCAACTGGATGGCTGCTCACTTCCTTAAACTCAACCTGTCCAAAACAGAACTTCTGGTCTTTCCTCCCTCAAGTGTTCCTACTTCCGTTTCTGTCTCCCGCTACCATCACCTCTGCCTCGCCTGCCTCACAGGCTCGCTGCCTGGGTGTTCTCTTTGACTCCAAGCTCTCCTTCACCCCTCATGTCCAGTCGGTCGCCAAATCCATCTCAAAAACATAGGGCTCAATTTAAGATTCTGGTGCTTGCTTACAAATCCTTACAATAATGCTGCTCCAACCTACCTATCCTCCCTAATATTCAAGTATGTTCCATCTAGACCCCTTCCCCTGCCACTGAGAGCTTAGGTAGTCCCCCTGCAGGCAGAGCTACAGACAGCCATTTCAGCCATGTGATCAAGAGGACTCCCAATCACATGGCCCAGAAAGACCAAATCTGCTGGAAGGGGAATGCTTAGGCTCCCAAACAGTCCCCAGGATCGGGATCACCGACGGGGGATCGTCGGGGACCTGGTAAGTAGTAAGGACGGCAGGGACATTCTATGCCGCCCTGCGGCATTTAGGATTGCCCCTGCCAGGACGGCATAGAACGCCCGCCATCCTTAAGGGTATAACACACACCTGAATGCTCCAGACCAGCAAATTGCTAAATCTTTGGCTTTTATAGAGTTGGTCTCACTTGTTGGTGATCAGTTAATCAAGGGTATTTTATCAGCAGCACCTGTCTGCTACTTAGCCTCTTAATTCCAATGTAAGCAGTAAGGGTGTACTTCGTTTTTTCAACAAGGCTTCTCCATTTTGGCTTTATTTTTGGTAAATCATGACAGTGTGAAATGCCATGTGTTGTTCATCTGAGGATATATTTAACTAATTTTAAGTTGTGTAAAACCATAGAATTCAAAGAGTGTGTACTTTCTGTGTGTGGGATATCTGTATTCTGTACTACTAGTTGTCATCAACCAAGTAATGAAAAGGAAAGCAAAATCTCCACTAACATGTGAATGTTTTCTTTGCGCTATGTGCAAGTTTCAGGTTCTAAATGCTATACTTTTGATATACTCATTAAATTAATAAAGTTTGTGTACTATTTATCACTAATTGTGTGGGTAACAATGTGAAGGTTACTGGTGTTGCTTAACTGAATTATAGTCATCTGGCTCAATAGAGGTTTATAAAGGAATAAGGGATATTCTTTTAACAAACAATTTGGTTTTGTCTATAGATTGTGGGAAATGGGAGTGAGCAGGAGCTCCAGAAAGAACTAGAAGATGTTCTGATGGATACACCATCTGAAGACCAGAATCAGCATGTTGAAGATGAGGCAAAAACTGAGAATGATAAAGATCTGGATGAGTCATCAAATGAGGCCTCTGCTGTGTCTTCATCTATAAATCCATCATCATCTGTTGGCCTGCAGAAGCAAGATTTGAGTCTACCAGTCATACCAGCACAGCAAGGTAATGTGTGTTACATAGCAGATGCTTTTAGGAAATACATCATTCATCTTCTCAACCTTGTGATTACTTTCACTGAATGTCATATATGGGCAGTTGTGGGATTCAGCCGGTTCTCGCGAACCTGTTACTAAAATGTAACAAGTACGCTGAACTGGTGATTAAAATGGCAGACTGATGTGTTGGGTCCTCTGTCCATGACCGAGGGCCAACATCAGGAGGGGGCCCGGCGGCTTGTCTTGTATGCCACTGGATGCGGGGCCCCTCTGTGTAGTCTGCCAGTGCCTCCGGTCTGCAGCTCCGCCAGGATCTCAGCTGCAGACCATGGAGTAGAGATCTTGCATCCTCCTCCTTTCCGCAACTAGCGGGTGCTAAGGCGCATGCACGGCAAATCCTGCATGCTCATTAGACCCCCCCGTAGCAAAAAAAAAAAATTGCTAAAAATCTGACGCTGGATGTCCTCATGCCGAGCGTGAGGACGTTCAGCATCATTTACTGGACCAAATGTCCATTAGGATTCAGGAAGTGCATCCAGTAGCTGTCTGGTAGACAGCCACTGGAGGCAGACTTACTGCTGCAATGTAAACATTGCAATTTCTCTGGAACTGCAGTGTTTGACATTGTAGCACTAAGTGCAAGAGGGACACTGCACCCAGACCACTTTAAAAAGCAGAAGTGGTCCTATAGTGTCCCTTTAAAGAACACTGCACCCATATATGTGAAAAGTTACACATGAAATTGTATTAAATATATTTTGTTACAAGGGCTGGTATTTTCTCTGCATATCTTATTTGATGTACATAAATATTTAATTCTGAAATATGAAGTGCAACCAGATTTTGTGGTTATGTCTATCTCTGATATACACTGATCAGCCACAACATTAAAACCACTAGGTAAATTGAATACCATTGATTATATTGTTACAATGGCAACTGTCAAAGGGCGGGATGTATTAGTCAACAAATGAGCAGTCAGGTTTTGAATTTCATGTGTACCGGCAATCAGGGCCATGGGGGCCCAAGGCACATTGATGCACATGGGCAGCGAAGGCTAGCCCATCTAGTAGGATCACACAGAAGAGCTACGGTATCATATTGCTGAAAAACTTCATGCTGGCCATGATAGAAAAATGTCAGAACATACTGCGTATGGGGCTGTGTAGCTGCAGACCTGTCAGAATGGCCATGATGACCCCCCTCTATTGCCGAAAACATCTTCAATGGGAAAGTGAGCATCAGAACTGGACCACGGAGCAATGGAAAAATGTTTGCCTGGTCTGGTGAATCACATTTTCTTTTTGATCAGGTAGATGGTGAGGAGGGGATGAGATGGCAGGAGGACGCCCTATTGAAAGAATTCAGGAAAATGGAGGCAGTGTTATGCTAAGTGCAATGTTCTGCTGGGAGACCTTGGGTCCTGGCATTCACGTGGATATTACTGTGACACGTACCACCTACCTTGAGATTGTTGCAGACTGAATACACCTCTTCATGGCATTGGTGTTCCCTGATGGCAGTATTTCAGCAGGATAATGCACACTGCAAACATTGTTAAGGTCAATGAGTTCAAGGTGTTGCCTTGTCTTCAAAATTCCTCTGATCTCAATCTGTGTGATGTACCAGAACAACACATCCTATCCATGGAGGCCCCACCTTGCAACTTGCAGCACTTAAAAAATAATCTGTTGCTTATTTCTTGGTGCCAGTTACCACAAGACACATTAAAAGGTCTTGTGGAGTCCATGCCTTGACGCATCAGAGCTGTTTTAACATCATGAGGAGGGGCCTACACAATAATAGGCAGGTGGTTTTAATGTTGTGCTTGATCTATAAATATATCTTATCAGTGTAAAATACCTTACATTGAAAGAAATACTCTAAATTAAATCTATGCCCTTGGGCATGCTTCCCCAAACTCCGGCCCTCCAGATGTTGCTGAACTACAACTCCCATGGTTCTATGAATGAAATAGATAGACTGAGAATCATGGGAGTTGCAGTTCAGCAACATCTGGAGGGCCTGAACCTGATTCAGCCCCTAGGGCAGACTTCCCCAAACTTCGGCCCTCCAGATGTTGCTGAACTACAACTCCTATGATTCTCAGTCTATCTATTTCATTCATAGAACCATGGGAGTTGTAGTTCAGCAACATCTGGCGGGCTGAAGTTTGGGGAAGCCTGCCCTAGGGGCTGAATCAGGTTCTTTAAAAAAAAAAAAAGACAAATTTATAAGCTAATGTACATTATAAAAGATATACTTGAAGGCTAGTTTAAAATGATGTCACTTGCATCGATTAAGTCACCTCCAGTATTCATAGCTTGTTATTGGTGTCAAAGGCTGTTTAAAGAGTGTTGAATAATATATTTAGTTTTTTGTGCCTTTTGGGCTTTTTCACAATTTTTCACATGTTGAATGGGGGCTTTTTTGCACTTTTGCTCACATGATAGGCTGTGTATATGTGAATAATTGTGGCACTTTCTACTGACACACTAACTGTTTGTTTTAGCTTTCATTTTTACTGCACTATTTAAATAATACCTATCAATTGGCACTATTAGCGCTGGTATCACACTGTCTTAGTCACTTACAGGCAGCATGTAAGGACTGTTTTCAACATCACATTTTACAATTAGCTGGAGTGTTTATAGTTCTTATTGTCTCCCTTTAATATAGTGGGGAATACCGGTTTTAACAGTATTCACGATACCCTGAAATAGTTATATTTTTCTATATATAGTGATTTTCGTAATACATTTTTATGTGTTGAACTAATCCATGTTTATTTCTGCTACTCAAAATTTGTACACTCTAAGACTGTGATTATTCTGCTTTTTTTGCTTTTAGACTGTGCGGATAGAACAGAATTGTTCTCTCTGGCACCCGATGAAGACAGCGTGGTGTTCAGTAAACTCACCTATTTGGGCTGCGCTTCAGTAAATGCACCACGTAGCGAGGTTGAAGCTCTCCGAATGATGTCCATTCTACGGGGACAGTGTCAAAATTCATTAGATGTGACACTCTCTGTACCCAATGTGTCTGAAGGTACTGTCAGGTAAGACACACAGATATCACTATATTTTAAAATATCCTAGTTTTAATACCAGATACAATGTTTTCTCAATTTCTTGTATTTATTTATATTTAGACTTTTGGATCCGCAGACAAACACAGAAATTGCGAAATACCCTATCTACAAGATTTTGTTTTGTGTTCGAGGACATGATGGAACTACAGAAAGTGACTGTTTTGCATTTACAGAGAGTCATTACAATGCTGAATTGTTCAGGATACATGTCTTCCGTTGTGAAATTCAGGAAGCTGTAAGTTCAAATCAATTACAATATTCTAGCACAATCCTTGTTAACCTTTTCTGATAATGACCCAAATTACATGCATGACAAGCATCGTGACCCTTTCTTCTCTTCTCAAATGTACACAGTGGCTCTTTTCTTCAATTGTTATACTATATGTAATTAAACAAAATCAGCAAAATACTTCCGTTATCTATTCCCAGCCATTAATAGGTCTCCACTACATTAAGGAAGACTTAAATTGTTTGTTGGCACTTGCCTGTTGCTTGATTGGCTCGTAGCAACCATTGGGGACCCTGGAATTACATTGAGTGCCTGTTTAGGGTCCCAACTGAGGAATTGAGAAGCAATGCTCTACACAATGTCATGGCAGTATATGCTAGAGCAAGATTGTCAGACTCAAAGGCTAACACGTGCCAAATAAACAAGGTTTAAGTATATGTGAGCCAAAAAAACAAAAACTTCAGTTTTCATAGAAACGTAAGTTTATTTTGAAAAGTACAGTATTAAAAAAGTCACCTGCCACTGGACGTCCTCACGCTTGTAGGGCTTCAAAGTAAACAAAAGTACACATTTATTTTAAGGAGACGTGCATCTGCATATAACCAATTTTTCAGTCTAACTACTCTGACATAGTAAGAAAAGTTTGGTAACATTTGGTGGTTGTAGGCTGTTGCACAGTTGTAAAAAAACAAATGACGTTATCTTGTTGATTTTGCAGTCCTATTAGTTTGTTTTGCACTTTCCCATATGAAAACATTGGGAGGTTATTGTGCATGGGTGGCAAAATGCTGCACAGCCAATCAGCATCTCCATGGGGAGCATTCAGCGCCTCCATGCAGACCAAATCTAATACACAGCCCCCATATCCAAAGGTTTGCCCCCATCCCTCCGCTCTTATACACTGCCCCATACCCTCACTCTAATACACTGCACTTGCCCCCACTCCCACCACTTTAATTTAATACACGGCCCCTCCCAATTTCATACACTGCCTTCCCTCCACTCTAATACACTGTCCCCTCCACAGAATCCAATACACTGCTCCATAATCTAATAAATTGCTACCACTCCCACCACTTTAATTTAATGTACTGCCCCTTCCTCTCCCAATTGATTTTCACAGTGAGAAGCACGCAAACGCCTCTAGCGGCTGTCAATGAGACAGCCACTAGAGGCTTTAGAGGCTGGATTATCCCTATTATAAACATAGCAGTTTCTCTGAAACTGCTATGTTTATAAAAAAAGGGTTAATCCTAGTGGTACCCAGACCACTTTATAAACCTTAAGATGAGCCGTCCATCCTCCAGTTCCAGCCCTGCTTTGCTCAAGCAGACTTGTTCTGCCGACAGCCAGCTACTCTGTGCACAGTAGATCCGGCGGCCCGCGTGTACTAATGCTTAGTGGTCTTGCGGCCGTGGCAGGGCAGATAGGAAAGATCTTTAAAAAAAAAAAAAAAAATGGGGAAAAAGAATAGTCCGATATTCTTACTCCTGAGTGGGGGTTAACCCCTAGTGCAATACAATGCACTACAAAACTAATGCAAGGAGGGGAGACAGGAGAAAGAGCAGGATGACTGTTGAAGTGTCCTGCAGAGTGGTGATTGCTTTGTAATAGGAGGGGTGTAACTTGGAATGGGAAGGCTCTGGGAGATCACTAAAGAGTGAAAGTAAAACTTAACTTTTAATACAAATAATTATAAAAAAGATAAATGATAAAATATAAGGAAAAAGTACAATTGCTGTGGTTAGAAATTCACAAAATGGAATAGTTGATTTGCCTTTAACAATGTAGTATACTTTTGCAATAGCAAATAGTTCAATAACTGTGGTTAGGAATTCTCAAATTCTCAAATACTATTTCGTTACAGGCAGTGCAACTGTTGGTTATTGCCTAAGTATACAATTTTGTTACAGGCAGTGCAACTGTTCCATTTGAGAATTCCTAACCACAGTTATCAAACTATTTGCTATTGCAAAAGTATACTACATTGTTAAAGGCAAATCAACTATTCCATTTTGTGAATTTCTAACCACAGCAATTGTACTTTTTGCTTATATTTGTTCATTTATGTTTTTTATAATTATTTTTATTAAAAGTTAAGTTTTACTTTCACTCTTTAGCGATCTCCCCGAGCCTTCCCATTCCAAGTTACATCCCTCCTATTACGAGGCAATCACCACTCTGCAGGACACTTCAACAGTCATCCTGCCCTTTCTCCTGTCTCCCCTCCTTGCTTTAGGAAAGATCTTTTCTTCCGTCCTGTTGCAGCCACAGCACAAAGCGACCACAGGGCAGGTGGGCTACAAATATATTTATTGTGGGCAGCAAGTTTGACATGCTTGCAGATTTTATGTCGATGTTTCAGATGTGTATAGTGCCAGTAAACAGTTCATTCATTTATCCTAAGGAATTTTTTGCTTTTTTTCATTGTTTTAAACTTGAGCTTGACAATTTTTGCTAGAATGTAGACACCAGGGCCAAAAGTTAGTAGTCAGGCAAAATGTTCAGTAACAGATTTCTCAGGTAATTGCCTATACTTTCTTAACACTCCAAGCACAAAAAGTTTAATGCTTTGATACAATTTGGCCTCATTAATATGCTGTGCTTTTTACAAGCTTAAATCTTTATAGTTTTTGCACAAAAGAGTTTTTCAGAATGCTGCACCATAAGGCTATTTCCTTAGCCACACCGTCTCATGCCAGAAATACTTCCTTATCCTTCTATATGTATGCACACAGTCTCATCCCCAATAGCACTGAATGAGCTGCTTTTAATTTACTACTTGGCTGCAGACATTCAGAAAAACTATTAAGGTTGTCATATCTTTACTATATGTCTTCCTGTGTGTCCTTTCCTTCTAATGTATTCTAAAACGTATTGGCATTTTTATAGCACCTACTTATTGAGCAGCGATTTGCAATATTATAAAGGAGGAAATGTAACAATAAATGAGACAATTACAAAATGTTACAGGAGCAATAGGTTGATTAGGAGTCTGCTCAAAAGAGCGAACTGTGTAGAGGAAAATGTAGGTTGCTTTGTAGTTCAGATAATCACGTTAACATTGGGGTGTATGTTTATGTAAAGCAAGTATGTTAATGCAGTGCTGAACCTGAGTGTAGTTGTAGAATTTGTGTGTCACTTCAGGGATTAATGTTCGAAAGCATCATGGTATATGAATATAATGTATATTAGTGTGTCAATGTATGGTATGCAATGCTAGTATGTATAAAACAGGGGTGTGTTACTGCATGTGTGTATTTGTATGGAGGGTCTGTGTGTAAATGCAGGATGTATCTGTACAGCCCTAAGTGGGACTCTGTTACCAACACTCTCCTTTCACCTTCTTTTCACTGCTTTTTGAAGACAGTTTAGCTGGGTAGCCCATGAGAGTGCTTAAAGGGACTCCAGACAGCTAAATAAATTAAACATAATGAGTACTTATGATATATAATAATACTTAAATTAAAGCTAATAAGCTCAAATACAGTTGTACTCAAATGCTTGCATACCCTTGAAGAATTGGTAATATATGTTATCTATTTTTAAAGAAAACACGAGTGAGCAGGCAAAACACATTTCTTTTATTTCTTATGGGATTCATATTCAACTGCAGGTTATAACAGAATGGCACAGTCATAAAACAAAACATGGCAACAAAGAAAAAAATGAAATGACCCCTATTCAAAAGTCTGCATACCCTTAATTCTTAATACTGTGTATTGCCCTCTTTAGCATCTATGACAGCGTGCGGTCCTTTGTAATATTTGTCACTGAGGCTCATAATTCATCTTAGCAAAATGCCTC